GACAGAACAGAGAACACTGTAAGTGCCCCAGTGGGAAACCTTAGGGGACCATAGCCTGGTGGGCGGGGCTACAGGCAGTCAACCAAAGCTGCTGGTCAGGCTCTGACTGCATCGAGGTCTCCTCTGCACCAGGCTTGTGAACTCTCTCTCACTCACTCTTTTTTTGTTTGCCACCAACCAGCTCCCAAATCATGGCATGGAAACTTATTAGTTATGAGTGCTCGGCCTAGCTGAGGCTCGTTTCTGGCTAGCTCTTTTAACTTAAATTAGCCTGTTTCTCCTTATCTACCTTTTTCCTGGGGCTCTCTTCCTTCTTACTTCCGTATATCTCACTTTCACTGCTTCTCTATGGCTGCCTGGTGGCTGCCTGGCTTCTGGCCCCAGGCGTCTTCCTCATTCTCTCCTCCTCCTTCTTGCCTCGTTCTTTTTCCTCTCAAGCCTGGCTTTCTCCTCCTACTTAACTTCTCTGTCCACCAGCCCCGCCTATTCTTTCTCTGCCTAGCTCTTTATTAGACCAATCAGGTGCCTTAGCCGGGCAAGGTGAAACAAATGCAACACATCTTCACATGACTAAACACCCATCCTTACATCGTTAAACAAATGCAGCAGAAACAAATGTAACCCACATTTACCCAATTAAATAATATTCTGCAGCATAAACAAATGTAACACATCTTTGCCTAGTTAAAATAATATTCCACAACACTCTGTGCCTAGTGAAGTGTGAGCCCCCGTGCAGGAGGTCATCACCGTCCAGGGCTTTTATGATTTGTCACACTCAGCACTCAGAATTCAATAAAGTACCAAGAGTAGATCAAACAACCAGAAAAACAAGAGGATTAAAAAAAAAAATAGAAAGAGAGCCACAGAATAAAAAAACCATGACATTATCAAACAAGGACTTTCAAGTAACTGTTTTCATTGATCCAAGAAAAACATGGAGGAAATAAAAGAACAATTCTCCAGAGAACTAGACCCAGAACTAAAAAAAAACAATGAAGGGGCAGAAGAGATGACGCAGCAGTTGAGGGGATCGAGTGGGGTCCCAGCACCCACATCAGGCGGCTCACAACTGCCTGTAACTCCAGATGCATGTGAGGCTCTGGGATCAATCCCAGCACCTGGAGGGAGTAGGAGAGGAAAGGAGGTACGGAGATGGGGAGACAGGGAAGGGGAGGAAAGGAGGTGAAAAGGAGACCAATGAACTACAAAACAGACAAATGAAATATCTATCTTGAGCATCTGGGGGGTGGGAGGCTGAGGGACACAAAAGGAAGGTAGGACACATGGGACATAGCACATGCTTTTATCAACCAGATATACCGGAGTCTCAGAGAGGGAGGGAAGGGAAAAATCGGTACAGAAACAATACTCAAAAGATGCAATGTCTGAGAAATTTCTGGAACTCATCAAAGACCTCAACTGGCAAATTCAGGATGCTCTTCAAATGTCCAGAAGGGAAACAGGGAGAGGAATCCCATACTACATCGCAACAAAACCATGACAAGAGGAAATGAGGATAAAAATGTTAAAAGCCAATGTCAAGATGAGGGGCTACCTTCAGAAGAGCAAGAAGATGGGATAGCCTTCACTTTATCAGAACTAAACATGGAAAAGACACCCCACAAAATAGGTATCTGGAGAAGATAATGAACAAAATTAAAATGTCTACAAATCAGTAAGAAAAACTTGAAGAAGAAACCTAATGACTAAGAAACATGAAAGGGTGTGCAGAATCACCAATAAGCACCAATAGGTAACATCTTACTCAGGGAGGGCTGCCATAATAAAACACGATACATTGTGCAAGATGATCTGTTTACCACGTTTATTTCAAGTGAAGTATCAAAACCACAGTGCGAGCAGATTGTCTGGTGAGTGTGTCTTCCTGATTCATGGTCAGCCATCTTCTTGCTATCTTTTTACATGACGAGAAGACAGAGAGCTCTCTGGGATATCTTTCATAAAATCACATGTGCTGGCTAGTTTTATGTCAACTTGACATAAGCTATAGCCACCTGAGAAAATGCCTCTGTAGACTGAGCTGTAGGCAAGCCTGTATGACATTTTCTTAATTAGTGATTGACTGAGAGGGCCCAGACCATTACGGGTGGTGCCATCCCTGGGATGACAGTCCTGGGTTTCATAAGAAAGCAGGCCGAGCAAGCCATGAGGAGCAAACCAATAAGCATCACCACTCCATGGCTTCTGCATCAGCTCCTGCCTCCAGGATGCTGCCCTGCTTGAGTTCCTGTCCTGACTTCCTTCAATCATATGATATGGAAGTGTAAGCTGTACCAGGCTTTTTTTGGGGGGCCACCAACTAGCTCCCAAATCATGACACAGAGACTTATTATTAGTTTTGAATGCTTGGCCTAGTTTAGGCATGTTTCTTTTAACTTAAATTAACCTGTTTTGTTTCGTTTTGTTTTGTTAATCTATCTTTTGCCTCAGGGCTTTTTACTGTCTTTCTGTAAATCTTACTAAATGCTTCCTGTGTCTGGTGGCTGGTAGGCTGCCTGGTTTCTATGTGTCCCTTGTTTTCTCCTCTCCCTTCTCTTGTTCTCCTTTTTCCTTCCTGAGCCTAGATCTCTCCTACTTATTCTCTCTGCCTACTAGCCCCGCCTACCCCTTCTCTTGCCCAGCTATTGGCCATTCAGCTCCTTATTAGATGAATTAGGTGCCTGAGGCAGGCAAGGTGAAACAGATGCAACACAACTTTATATAATTAGACACACATCTTTACATTGTTAAACAAATGAAGCATAAACAGAAGTAACAACACCTTTACACAGTTAAGGTAATATTCCACAGCATAAACAAATGTAACACATCTTTACCTAGTTAATGCTCTGCGTTTCCCCCTTTTTGTCTAAATGAGAAAGGTCTATAACTTTAACATGGAAAAACTGTACACAACAAGAACAATTATGAAGTAAGGATTACATTTACAATATCCAGTCTATTTGTATTTTGCAAATTCAGAGAAAATTCTCCATTACTTATTCTATCTTGGTGAGTCCAAAGTTTTGTACCTAATTTACCTTCTGTCATAAATAAGAATAACTTCAACTGTATCTAGTTTTCAACTCCATCAAAGACTCCAGAGAGATATACTATTACCTGAGTAAACAGAAAGTGCAGTGCAAGCCACTTCCAAACCTATAGAAACCACAGACATCTGGCTGCCTGGACATTCACCCAAGGTTCCTCTGTAATACTGGGCATCCAATCTTTTGCCTACAGGCCTAGAATATCTGGCAGACTCTTCTGTGAAGCAGGAATTTTGAAGGACTGTCCCGCCTTGTTCTGGCAAAATTCAGCAGTTGCTTTCAGACACTGGAAGGAGGTCAGATAGGAACTTCCATTCACTCCTTGTGCGTGTAGGTATAACACGCTGTAATACATCATGTGGTAACACTTAAGACTCACCAATTACAAGTCCACATTTCTATTCCTAGGTAAATATTTTCAAGAAATGTAACTCAGAAATCATGTGTAAAATTGCTTATCACATCCCTTGTCATACTATACGAAGACTGAAATGCCCATTGGTAGAGTGTTGACCGTATTATGATTTATCTTGAGTGCCAACATCATAGAATCTGAAGTCAACTAAGAGACACACCTCTAGGTAGCTCTGTGAAGGCACTTCTAGGAGGGATTAACGGAGGCAGGAGGACCCTCTTCCACAGTACACAACACCTTCCTGTGGCAGTCCAGATGCAAAGTCCAAAACAGCAGCCCTCCCGCTCTTCCGTGCCTGCCTTTTGGTCTTGCTGGTGAGCATGTCTATCCAGTTGTGGCTGCCACTGCTGCCAGCCTCACGGCCATCACAACGAAGCCTCTTCCATCTTTCAATGCGGACTGAGGACTGGTCACTCTCCGGAAGTCCTCAGGCCTTCAGTCACAAACCTCCCAGACTGAACCGCTGCTGGTTCTCAGCCTCTCCAGAGTAGAGCTGGCCACTGTTGAACTACCCAGCCTGCATCCTGTAAGCCAATCTAACAGATCCCCTTTGTAATATATATTCATCCCGTCGGTTCTGTTTCTCTAGAGGGCCCTGCATGAACTATAAAACAAACTCCATGACATTACTGACAAATCTTTAAAACAATACCAAACGAAAGAACCCAAACAGACTATATATATACATATATATATATATATGTATATATATAGTCTGACTCAGTTAAGAACTCAGTCAGTGAAAATGAAGTTACTGTGTTCAGTGACCTGGTCACAGGAGGGAAACTTCAATGGTGACCACAAATCACCATCCCATGGTTATCCCTGAGCTTCCTGGACAGGGAAGGAGATATCAGCCAGGAGGGCCTCCCACGTGGGTCCTGAGCACTGATTGGAATAGCTCCAGCCAGGGACAACTCAGCATACACATCCCAAATTGAACACTAACAGCATTCACGTGTGAGCACGTGTTCTTCCTATGTTCTCTGGGTGGCCAGATGAGATTATTTATCTCCAGTTTCCAGAAAAGTACTCAAGCCTGGAGGGCACGTGGGCATTAAAACCAGCTTTAGAACCCAAGGCTAGGGCTGTGCTCTGCAGAATGTCTGCACAGCGGAGATGCATACAAAATGGTGGAACTGGTCAGAGCTCCTGGATTGTGTGTGCACACATTCATGTGTGTGCGTGTTTGCCTGTGCACATGCAGGTGGAGACCAGCCATCCACTTCCGGTATTTTCCTCTAGGAGCCTGGTCTCTCATCAAGCCTGAAGCTCCCCAGTTTTGGAAAGTCCCAAGGGTCTTTCTTTCTCCACCTCCTCAGCACTGGGATCACAGCCACGCACTGCCAGGCCCGACTTTTATGTAAATGCTGGGAGTCAGAATTCAGGTCCGTGTGTGTGTGTGTGTGTGTGTGTGTGTGTATGTGTGTGTGTGTGTGTGTGTGTGGCATTTTGAACTGAGCCAGCCCCAGTTCCTGGTTTAAAAACACAAAACAACAACAACAAGCCCCAAACACTCCAAAATAAGGCTATTTAAGGCTTCTGGCAGGGAGATTTTATTTTTTGGTTAAAGCCACAACAAATAGAAATGTCATAAAAACAAACCTGTAAACACAGCATCAGAACTTTGGTTTCACTACAACATCTCCCACCTGAAACATCTGAGGTACGAAGGCACCGCGTGAGGTGCTACACAGTCTGGGTCTGCAGCAGCCACACCAGTGCTACCCTTGGAACCAGAGGAAGCATAGGCTGGCCAGAGTCTGGGGCCCAGGTCACCCAGAACTCGGCCCAGGACACACTCTCTGAAATTCAGACAAACACTGGCTCCTCCAATGACCTGCCTGACAGGAGCTGGAACACACAAAGGAATCCGTCACGCTGAACTTGATGACTTGGCTGTGGGGCCAGGAAGGGGCAGAGCAAAGGACGTCAATCGACTTCTGTTGTCCCACAAGGCCTCAAGAACTCTTGTCCTCGTTCATGGAACCACTTATTGGAGACTGTGAAGAGAAAGCAAGTATGTGATGATCCAACCTATCAGGTCAGCAGCCAAAATGAATGCTTCCTCCATGACAACCACTGCCCTGTGCTCCGGGGGTAAGACCCCTGAGCGACCCGGCTCAGACCTCAAGCCTGCTGAAAACACACGGGCACGCAGGTAACTTTACGTACAAAAGTCTACCAGTGATTCAATGCATGTATGCAGGTTGCCATGGGAATGGAGCCAAAGGGTATCTCATGACATTAGGGAAGCAGTACTGACACAGAACAGGAAGTCATCCTGGAAAGAGGGCGGGGCATATCATATGGTTGCCACTCACTCTAAGTGGGCTGGATGCAGGAAGCGGTGTGGGAAGGTCCTCAAAGGCAGAGGCCCCTCTGCTAAGTGTGAAGGACCTCAAGAAGCTGGGACAGGGGAGCTGGAGAGATGGCTCAGAGGTTAAGAGCACTGACTGTTCTTCCAGAGGACCTGAGTTCAATTCCCAGCAACCACATGGTGGCTCACAACCATCTGTAATGAGATCTGGCGCCCTCTTCTGGTGTGCAGTTATACATGCTGTATACATAAATAAATAAATAAATCTTTTAAAAAGAAGAAGAAGAAGAGGAGGAGGAGGAGGAGGAGGAGGAGGAGGAGCTGGGACAGTGGTGAGCAGAAACTGAGAGGAGGGGATGGGGAACCTGCACGCACTGTACAGGGCCTGGCCGCGAACCTCAGGCCCCGTGAGTGACAGAGCAGAATCTCAGTGCTGTGGGCACCCTAGCTGAAGCACGGGTATCTGCACTGCATGTCACAGGCATGCACCAGGACTCCGTTCCTCAAACACGGACTCTCTCATAAGAAATAGAGTAATGCAGGCAGATGGCACGGCTCATGTCGGGAGCCCAGCAACCTGAGCTTAATCCCCAGAACCCACAACGTGCAAGAAGAGAACCAATTCTTTCAAACTGTCCTCTGACCTGCACACATGTGACATGGCACATGTACACACACACACACACACACACACACACACACACACACACACATTTTTAAAGTAATGCACTACTGAAGTCAGAGATTTTAAAATACAATTTAATACCTGTACGTAACTCAATGAACTGTCTAGAAGACTTGATTAGCAGCATATATTGTGCAATGTTAAAACCATTAAAATTAAACACGCAGTGCTTCCATGTGTCAGGTTAGTGCCACACTTTCCACATCTAGTAAATTAGAACTCCGCTATCCTTTTTCCTCCCAGATCAGCAACCACCTCATTTTCGTTTGTTTACTTTACCTTTTCTGTAAAACCTATCAGTATTTATCTCCCACACTCCAAGGGTTATAAATGCGTGTGACCCCTTCCTGTCACATTCTAGTCCACGCCTTTCCTAGCTCTCCACGGCTGCTCCAGATTAAGGCTCAAGTTCATCCTCTGTGGTCTGTCCTGGCCTCCGATTTCATCTCTCAGACCAATCTCACCTCAGGCCTCCCCTTCTTCAAGTGACAAGGACAGCTAGTGCCCCCCAAGCCTGTTACCTAAGATGCTGGTTGTAGCCACAAGGCCTCACACAGGCACCCTCCCTTCCTTCTGCTTCCAGCTCTATTCTCCACTAAAACCCTTGCCAGAGCCCACTTCTCTGGAAGGCTACCTGGTGCTGATGCAGCCCAGGCTTCCTTGGCTCTCCGAGCATCTCTTGAGCGTTGACAACCAGCTGCAGGAGCTCTGGCTGGGTGGTACAAGCAGCCAAGATAACCTTTTGTGGTGTGCAGACCTGACAGCAGTTGGCAGCTGTTTCCACCTCTGCCTCTACAGCCACGGCCCCTTCCGCACCCCCCCTCCAGCCGCCACTCACCCCACTTGCAGCCCACAAGCACAGGGCAGGCTGCGTGTCTCGTTCGATAATCACCTTCCCCACTCCGCAGAAGGTTGTACCAGAATACAGCTGTGCCCTGGGAAAGAGACGAGCTGTCAGAGCACATCTTAAAGACCAGTCACAAGGGCCCGCTCTAAGAATCTAGAACCATCCGCCCCTCGGCAGACATGCCCCTCCTTTCCTGGGTTTGGGGGACAGGGCTCAAAAGCACCTATCCCTCAAATGGAAGGAAGGTCAGAACCCCAGCTGCCCCGAAGGGTCTTCTCTCCCCATCCCTTCTCCCCGGCTGGAAGTTGGGACCACAGTCCAAGGCACAGGTGGGAAGGAACTAAGGCGCATCACATTGACAGTCAAGTAGACAGTCAATGGCACCAGGGGACACAGACAAGGGCTGAGCCCTGCTCAAACGTGTGACCCTGAAGAATCATGCTTACCTTCTTGGGCCAAATTGCAGCTCCCAGGTCAGGGAATACGGTGGCACCTCCAGCCTCTACATCACTCATCTGGGAACATAAGGCAAAGAGCTTGGCCCCTCTACCCAAGGACAGCAGAGCAATAAAGCCTCAAGGACATGACCAGGTGTGCAGGTCACCCTACACCAAGCATGAGCAGCATTGCCTGGAGGCTCTGCTCTGTGGCAATGGAAATCTTTCAGCCAAGAGAGACTTCCCACACGCAGATTAATCTGTTGTATTCATCAAGACAGGCTCTGTACCTGGAGGTTCGAGAGCTAAAGCCCCCAGAAGACCCATGTTCAGGTTGTCCTTGATAGGAACAACCTGAGTCTATTTGGAAAATGCTATCTTAGGCTAGCGATGGCTTGGCAGTTAAGAGCACTTGCTGTTACACGCAACTCAGGTTCAGTTCCCAGCACTCACATGGTGGCTCACAACCATCTGTAACTCCAGTTCCAGGGAATCCAATGCCCTCTAATGGACTCTGTGGGCACCATGCATGCATGTGGTACATACAACATATATGTACACACACATGCAGGCAAATGCTCAGAAATATTAAATATATATCAAAAAAAGAAAAAGAAAAAGAAAAAGAAAAAGAAAAGAAGGAAGAAAATGCTTATCTTGACCCTGACCCCATCTTGAATCCTCTCCCTATGAGGCTTCCAACCTCAGGAGTATCCCCGTCCCTGTGTGGCCATCTTTCTGGCTCTAGCTGCTCTAATCAGACCTCCACCTTCCCAGAATGCTACTCGGCCCTGCTTTCTCCTGTAAAGTGCACTCTTACTTGAAGTGTTTTGTTTGTCTATGCTATAATAAAAAGGGCCTATAAGGCAGAAAGCATTAGAGCTAAGAAATGTCCCATGACGACACATGCCAGCCTGACTGAAGGGGCGGGTCCTCAGTGGGATCATAATAAGGAAGATGGAAAGACCCAGTGGCTCCCCTGGTGCTGGGGTTCAAACCCAGCGAATCTTCAAGTCAGTCTCACTCACCTCTCTCTCCACATACACTAGCCTTTGCCTGTTTCCCGACATCCCAAACCTTTTGCCTCCCAGGTCCCCACACGCCTTCTTCTTTGCCAAAATATGTTCCACAAATTTCCATTTAATTTTCAAGTCTCAACTGGCACGCTATTTCCTAAATGAAGCCTTTACTGAACCCCATGCCTGGGCAAATTCTTCAGTGTTTGTCTCCATGGTAACTAAATAACAATCTCTCCCATGCTTCAAGCGCATCTCCCAAGTCAGACCTCAGATGTCAGAACGGAGACCACATAGGACCAGCTCAGCAGTGTATGTGCATAGCAGTCTCCAGGATAATTAAAACTCAGAGGGAAAAAATAAACTTTGTCTCTAAGTTCCCTGACTACGCATCCTTAGAATGGGCTACTCCAGTGGAGAGAGGTAAACTGACAGCCTATGGATGAGGGGCAGGGGGCAGCAGGAGGGAAGCTGCCTACCCAGCCTCCCTCCGAGGAAACAGAGGCAGTTTCCATGTAAAAGCGCCTCCTGGCCACCTCTGCACTCTCCCGCTGGGACAGAGCCCCACCGTGGCTCTCATTCCCAAAGCTCAGAGTAGCACTGCATCCATCAGAAAGGACTCAGAGCATGCCACACAGACACACGTGAAAGATAGGGGCTGAGGAAATCAGCCAGCAAGAAGGACAGAACTCCAGGACTCCACTCTGATGAGGCTCTGTGGTCTCTGAAAGCAGGGTGGTGGTGGTGGGAAGGGATGCTGGAATTACTGCTGAATAGAAACAGAGCTTCCATTTTATGAGGTGAGAAGAGCCATGGTAACAGATGGTAAATGGTTCACATTAGGGATGGACTTAATAAATAATCACTGAAGCCCACGGAAGACTGTTATGATGGCAATTTTTATATTATGTATATTTTACCACAGCTTAAAAAAATGTTGTGTGGGGGGGTGGGGGGTGGGAAAGAGCCAGGGGGTAGGAGAAGGCTAAGCACACAGATGGGAACAAAAGCCAGCTTTTTATACTCTCGCCAGGAAGGGCACTGACTGACCACTCTGCAGCAGCTGATGCTGTGAGCCCTGATGGGGGTGGGATGTTCAGGAGCCCTCTGGCCCCAGGGTCTCCACAGGGCCCCCCTCGGGCGCACGCATCATACTCACGTAGTTTAGAAACGTGGCCACACGATTCCCAGTCCCTAAACGCTTGAAAGCATCTTGCTCATCGCTCTATAAAATTAAGGGAGAGGGAACAAATGGGCCCGGCCCGGTACTTACATAGTTAAGAAACGTCGCTAACCTATTTCCCTCCGTTTTGAGGCCGCTGTCAAAGGGTCGCTGAAACAGACAACAACTTTCATCCAAGTTTGCAACTAACTTACCCGCCACCCAAAGGATGGGGACCAAAAGGGTCGGAGAATGGTAAGTGTGCCTTCCTCCCACAGCACAGCAGGGATATGGGACAGGGCTACAAAGGGAACCCCAGAAAGAACACAGCGAAGGGTAGGGAGGTCAGAAAAGGTTTCACAGGGACCTAGAGAGATCTTTTGCTCTCTTATTGGGCCAAACACTCCCCTCATGGACAGGAAACAACCGGGCCCCACTGGGCTCCGCAGGTGCTTCACCAACAATATAGTTTTTCCCTGGCCAGGTGGTCGGTGGAGGAGGGATAATGTGGAAGCTGAGATGCTTCTAGAAGCTCCAACCTTCTCAAACCAGCCAGGGCAGAGCCCTCCAGAAATATCTATGATTGGGGCCTTACCCTAGAGAAGTCAAAGTGGGGTTCGTACTGTCCTCCCATTCCATAGTTCGCGACCTGGTGAGAGATTACAGCATTGAATTTGTCAGCAGTATGAACAGCTCCAGGGCAGCCCAACTCTCCATGAATACCATCTCCCTAGGCCTGAAAGCACCCCCAGCCTTCGTATGTGTGTGATCTATGTATGTGGTATACGTATATGGTGGGGTATGCACACGTCTGTGTGCATGCAGAGGCCAGAGAAGGATATTGTGTGTCCTGCTCCATCACGCTCTACCTTATTCCCTTGAGACAATGAACCTGGAGCTAACCATCACCCAGCAAGCCTGTGGGTGCTCTCCCCAGCGTTGGGGTGGCAGAAAAATGCTTAGCCATACTCTGTGTGGATGCTGGGGATGTGAACTCAAGGCTCATATGAGTACATATTCACTCTCCAGTTGGTGGTACTGTTTCTGGAGGGTGGAATCTTGGGGTCAGGCTGGCATAATTAGACCACTGGATGTGGGCCGTGAAGGTTTTCTCTGCTGTTGGTTCTGGCCAGCCCAAGCCCTCTGGCTTCTGGTCCAGCAAGACGTGAACAAGCTGTGTTTCAAGTTCCCACTGCCAAGCCTCCCCACCAGGATGGACTCAAACTGTGAGCCAAAGCAGACCTCTCCTCCATCAATTTGCTTCTGTTGGGTCCTTTGATTAGAAGAGTGAGTAATGGAGTAGGTGAGCCTTCTCAGACAGCCTGGGAACCTTGGGAGACCACCCAGCCCAACAGAACTCCTCCCAACTCCTCTGGCCCCAAGGGCCAGCCTACCTGCAAGAGTTCTGCGGTCTTCACTGTCAACCCCGTGATATGCTGCATGCGGCGGTTGACTCGGGCCACAACAGGGTCATCATCCTCCTCTAGCCAGGAGCTGAGCAAAGAAGAAAGGCATGGGCAGGCTTAGATGAAGTCCGATGATCCCTTCTCAGTCAAGGCCAGCACTAATGGGCAACACAGGGTAAAGGCCACAGGGAGAGGAGGTGCAGCAGGCAGGAGAAGAGGGCATCAGCACTCTTTTGCAACCTTGCTGGGAAGCCCCACCCCACCCCACTGCTACACCTGCTCACCTTTTGGAAACTCTGTAGCTGGCAACAGTGAGGACCCCTGTCTTGGGATCACGAACAGTGGCTCGTGCCAGCTAAAAGACAGGACAGAGTTACCTCTTTGGTTTTGGGTGTTTTCCCAGAGAACACTGATCCCAGGGGGGGCAGCCCCATCGGTGGGAAATATCTGTAGAAAGTGGTTCTTCTAGCCGAGGTCCCACAACACTGCAGTCTAGTCTACACTTTGCTCTGTGCTATGAGGCCTGGCCTCACCCTCCTTGCTCATTACCCACCTCTTCTGCTACTTGGGTCTATGCTGCCAGCACTGTTATGCCTATGAATTCTGCTCGGTCTGTACATGTATCCCCCAAACTTGGACTTTCTTGACAGGCCCACACCACACTGCCTGAGCACAGCTTTGATTCTGCCACACACAGACTGGGCCATCTCTGAGCTTCAACCCTCATGAGGCTTCTCTTGACATGGTCAAGTTTGCCCATGTTTTCCTTCTATCCAGACACAGTCTGCTGTACCTCCTGCCCTGCTGGGCTCCCACTGCTCAGTAGGTAAGACAGTTTTTCAGTCCTTTGGGGGCCCTCCCAGAGTCAACAGAGAAGACCACAGGAATCCGATGCAAATGAACTGCTATGCAGAAGCCACCTTTCATGGGCAACTACACACACACACACACACACACACACACACACACACACACACACACACGCCTTTCCTCTACCTCATCTCCCCAGTCTCCATATAAAGGCTTAATGGTACTGCCAGGAGGGATATACTTGTCCACAGCAAGAGTGCAGGTGCCTTCCTTGTGGTGTGGACTGTCCTAATGGGCTCACACGATGGTATGGACCAACATGTTCATGCAGAAGTATATATGGACCAGACAGAGTAGTGCTGACTCTTACTTCCAATAACTATCTGGCTGGTGCCCACTGTGTGCCAGGTGGTGACCGAGACACGACCCCTGCCTTCATATAACTTGGTCAGGTGGAGACAGTAGAAAACCAGCCAAGTAATTAAGATGGGTGCTGTGGGATGTTCTGTATGTCAAATTGCTCTGATTGGTCAATAAATAAAACACTGATTGACCAGTGGCTAGGCAGGAAGTATAGGCGGCACTAACAGAGAGGAGAAAAGAAAGAACAGGAAGGCAGAAGGAGTCACTGTCAGCCGCTACCATGACAAGCCACATGTGAGGATGCCGGTAAGCCACGAGCCATGTGGCAAGGTATAGATTTATGGAAATGGATTAATTTAAGCTATAAGAACAGTTAGCAAGAAGCCTGCCACGGCCATATAGTTTGTAAGCAATATAAGTCTCTGTGTTTACTTGGTTGGGTCTGAGCGGCTGTGGGACTGGCGGGTGACAAAGATTTGTCCTGACTGTGGGCCAGGCAGGAAAACTCTAGCTACAGATGGGTGAGCTTAATGTCCTGTGGAAGCACAGCCAAAAGGTTACAGCAGCTTGGGTACTGTTGAGAGCCGGGCCGATTCAAGGCTTTCTCTGAGACCTTTGTGTATAGAGAAGAAATGGACTTCCTTGTCTGATCCTTAGCAGATACAGTAATGGCCTGGGGCAAAGGTCTTGGGGAGCTGCAGCTTTGGGACCTCAGAACCAAACTCTGTGATTATTGGTCCCAAGGCTGTGTGCTCCTCTTTAATGCCCTAGCCCTTGAGAAAGCCTGTGTCCCCTTGTGAGAAAGCCTGTGTCCCCTTGTGAGAAAGCCTGTGTCCCTTGTGAGAAAGCCTGTGTCCCCGTGTGAGAAAGCCTGTGTCCCCTTGTGAGAAAGCCTGTGTCCCCTTGTGAGAAAGCCTGTGTCCCCTTGTGAGAAAGCCTGTGTCCTCGTGTGCAGCACTGCTTGATTAGCTTCCTGCTGACTTCGTCCCACTGTGTGAGAGCTTTGCAGGGGCACTGTCTCATTTCTCCCCTGGAAACAGTATATGAGATGCTGGACTTCTTAATAAGCTTGCCTGGCATGAGACGGAGTTTAGAGACCTCCGGAGCCTACCTGTTTGATCTTTACCTCTGAACCTTCCTCCTCGGGACCCTGCCCCCGAAGAAGAACCCGCTGGTCCAGGTGAGGGTACTATGTACATTATAGCACCAGGCAAGGACACTGGTGCAGAGGGCACTGGCTACAGGTCGAGGCGACATGATGTCATGAGATGGGAAGAGGCCGAAGGCACAGAGACCAGGGTCTGCTGCCATCTTATGGTCAAGCTGAAATGGGGACAGCCTTATGCAAGGGAGGGGCATTCACAATGGAATGGGAATGTAAAGACTATCAGGCCACCTTACGGAGAGAGCAGAATGAGGAGAAGACTAACAAAGTTGGAGCAAGAATCAGGGCAAGGGATGACAGTGGCCTGGGACAGGAGATGGCAGAGGGATGGAGAAGAGGAGCCACACCAGATATCTGGTCCGGAAGTAAATCGACCCATCTGATCACTTTGCCTCCTAACACTTTCCTATGACTATGGCGGCCAGCATACCCAAGGAAAGATGGTTTCCCAGGTTCCTATCTATGGTCCTTTTATCAGCCTAGTGGATGGCCATCCCTGCCCGATAACAGACACTGCCACTAGACTGTGAAAGCATCTGAGCCTCAGCATTGGCCTGGTGCCCAAAAAAGACTTTGGGCAGCTGTGCTCTGCCCTGGGGACAGACGGGGCTATTTTGAAAGCAGACTGAGGACTCACAGACAGCTGCCAGGCATTCCCCACAAGCCAAGCTAAGCTCACTGGCCCCACTTCAAAGCCAGAATAGCATCTGTCTGTCCTGGCCTCCGGAAAGGAGAGGTCAGCTCATGATGGCCAATGTGTATGGCTTGTCACACGGCTCCTGTTCAAAGACCAGTTATCCCAACGCCAGCCACCTTCTCCATCCCTGCTGCTCATGTATACATGTGCACAGAGAAAAATGTTCAATGTCCCGGACTAAGGCAGGTAAGGAATCTCTCAGGAGATTTTGGCTTGCCAGTGCCTCTCTTGGCTAGAAATCAGGCGACTAAGTTTTCTTCTCTGGAGGACTTTGGAACTGGCCATGAAAGTAACATGACAGGTCCTGGTTACAGTGCTCCATACCCATCGACTAGATTGACCCTCAGTCAATCCAATACCAGCAACAGATCCTGTCTCCTGACTGTCCTAGCTCTTCAAACCAAGCTGTTCCAAGGTGAGCTCCAGGGCCACTACAGTAACCCATCTTAGGTCTGTCCATGAGCAGAAGCTCTGGCCACCTCAGCCACTTCGATTCTACTACAAATAAAGCAATAGAAAGCCAGCTAATTCCTCCCTCCTGGTCACCTGTGACGGGAGAAAGCTGGAGCAATGGCAGCCCACAGTCCTCTTCAAGAGAGATTAAATGGGACCAAATCATCTATGAGCTAGAAACCCAAGAATAACTGTACCAACATGACCTGTATACAAGAACCAACAGTCAATGGCATATGTAGCAGCAAATACCAGTTGGATTTCTACAATACTCAGAAACAAGACAAGGAGGTCCATAGCAAAAATGTTCTAGAAGTTCCAGGCATCTCAATAAGATGGTCAAGGCAAAGGAGCTATAACTATTAGGGAGGATAAACTATTCTCCTCGCTTGCAGATGACAATTTGGTCAAGATAACCGAAGAAGGAGTAACTTCTACCACCACCTCTGACCTACACAGATCAGCTTCCTCAAGTTCAAGGGAAAATGAAAGCAGACCCAGAATCTGCAACAGACAACAGTTCACACACATGAAACACTGGAGACAGGTCCTACCACACCAATCAATGCTAGTTACCACTGGGAGATAGATTTCAAAAACCAATAGTTTGGCATATTGACTAGAAACGTGGCTCAGCTAAGAGTTGCCGGCCTGGCACATATGAGGCCCTGGGTTTGATTGCCTGCACTGTATAAACCAGGTGTGATATTATACATCTGTAATTCTAGCCCTCAGGAGGTGGAGGCCGAAGGATCAGAAGTTCAAGGTTATCCTTAGACATATATAAAACAAGTTTGAAGCCAGCCTCAACTATGTAAGATCCTACATTTAAATAAAAAGCTATCTAATAATTCAGTATATAATAGTGAATCAATGTAACAATGTAACAAATTAAATACTCCCAAGAAGAAAATTTACAAAAAAAAAAAAAAAAGCAACCAATGAGGAATAAGCTTAGTAAGAAATGTATTTGAACTGAAAATTTAAACATGAATAAGTAAAGATGAAGAATATCTAGATTGTACTGATGTACACCCTCCTCCAACTCCAACAGTTCACTCCACTTTTTATTATCTCACTGCAGCCCTCACCCCTCACTGCAGCCCTCACCCCTCACTGCAGCCCTCACCCTCACTGCAGCCCCCACCCTCACTGCAGTCCTCACCCTCACTGCAGCCCTCCTCCCTCACTGCAGTCCTCCTCCCTCACTGCAGCCCTCACCCTCACTGCAGTCCTCACCCTCACTGCAGCCCTCACCCTCACTGCAGCCCTCCTCCCTCACTGCAGCCCT